TTATATTTGAAAAATCTCTCTTAAAAAATTACAGATTAATATGCATGTAGATTTCTCACCCTTTTCGACAAAAATAAAAGAATTAAAAATTACAGTAGAGTAATATCTATAAATTAGAAATACACAAGTCAGTAAAGTTTCTGTTCAGCCATTTCCTAAGGATTTATTCACTTTACAAGCACAAATTTAATCGCTTTCGATGTTCTTGTAAGAAAGGATATCACGTAGCCAAAGCGAAAGTAGCACTACGATTGACATCAGCGCCACCTTGTCTGTGACGTCACTAACCTCGATGTATGGACCGAACGGTTATAATGGAGGAATATAAGCGCTTTCGACACTATATTTTCTAGCCACTGTACTTTATACTGAAACTTTTAATGGCATCTATGAATGGTTTATGGAACGAGACTATCACAGTTGTATACATAACCATTTTCACTAGTTAATTTTCTGAATTTTTGTAAGTGCATTTTATACCAAAATATTCAATAATTATGTTATTTCAAATTCTAAATTATTTCATAATAATATGATTGTTTCAGAGAGTTTTTATTTATCATTATTAAAAACTGTGTGATGTAAATTATATGTATAACAAATAAGTAAATAAATATATATACAAATAAATTTGTATTCACAAAAATATATTTGATGTGATAAGAGAGATTATTATTTTAATCAAAAATAAATTCTATAAAATAAAATTATATATTTTTTTAATAAAGACTGATAATTCAATATTTGCTATTTTTTCAGAGGTGTTCATTAGTAGCTGTTGTTTTACTCATTGCTGTTGGGCTATTTATGTTTACCTATCAATCAACACAGTTTAACCTGCAAGGTTTTCTTCTTGTGTTAAGTGCTTCATTTCTTGCAGGATTTCGATGGACTTTAGCACAACTTGTTATTCAGAAAAAAGAAATAGGCAAGTTTTTAATAATAATAAAATTATGACTATTGTAAAATTCAATTCAGTAAGAATAAGATTTAAATTTATGTTTAATAGACATATTGTTTAAATTCAAAATTTTCACTGTGACAAATTAATAAGCACATTATCTTTATCTAGTCCAGCAGCTTTATTTTTCTATAAAATAAGTTCAAAAACGTTTATTTTATAGAGAAATAAAGCTACTGGACTAGATAAAAGTACTGTGGTTATTTATTTGTTTCATTGTCCAGTTTTTCAAAGTATTTGCTTTCACTGTGATTTATAAATATATAAAAATTATTACAAGATAAGCCAGTGGTACATTTGTTCTTTTGCTTCCTGATATGTTTTAATATTTATAAAAATATTTTTTTATGTCAGTTTTTAGTTCACTTTGTTTAGTTTTTATAAAATTTTTCAGTTTTACTATACATTAGTCAGTGGCAGATGAGGCATTTGGTGGGCCTCAAGTGGCAGTTTTGAGGTCTCCTTGTTCTAAATAATAAATAATACTATCAAATTAATTTATAACTTAATAAAAAAAAACCAGCAGTGAGGTGCAAGTTTTCAGGCAAAAAAGTTAAAATTGTATGTAGTGCCATCTGTTATGAAATTTTATTTAAAAAATTTTTATATTATTAATTATTATAAAATGACAAAAAGTTTAGTTTTGAGGATATAGATGAGTTTAATATTAAAAAAAAATTGTAAATACTAATAATGAGTAAATTCTTCATTAAGTCTAATCCCACTCAAGATATGACACATGACCCCCACTCTATCTTCCATGCCCTTGATCTTTAAACACCAAAGTTTAATAGCATCAATAACTCTAATACACAAACTCCTTGCAAAATTTCAGATTCAGTAAAATCTACTGCATTTTAGTTTATTATTAGAAACATACCATTGAATATTAAAAATTATCATTATTTTATTTTGTTTACTCAGTTAGAAGCAGGAGTTATTAAGCTTCTAACTGGGTAAACAAAATTATGTCCTCCCCACACATACACACTAACATCCATACATACAAAAAACCCCCAACTTTTTTTTTGCATGTCTTGATGTTTTGATGTCCCTAAGTCTAAAAACATAAAAATCTTGGCAGTTCTTTTTTGACTGATTACCATGCTTTTCCTCTTATATGTATCAACTGGGATAATAAAATAATGATAATTTTTAATATTCAATGGTATGATTCTAATAATAAACTAAAATGCAGTGGATTTTACTGTTTTGAATCGTTCTTGGCTGTTGATTGTAACCAGTAATCAGAATAAAACAGTGCTTATACAAATACAAACATCTAAAATTTTTTGATTAAAGCCAAATGATTGTCAGATTACATTGGGCTATATTATTAATAATTAAATGTTAAGTAATTTGGCCTAGAGATAGGCATGGGAATTATCTCTTGATAAATTTTAGTTTAATTATAATTATTAAATTTAGCAGGAGATGGCACCTAATGTCTGCATCTAGTGCCAAATTACTTAGCATTTATATAATTATTAATAGTTGCAATAATATAGCCCAATATAATTCAGCAATAATTTGGCTTTAAAACAGTACTTATTGTGTATAACATAAACAAATATCTGTGCCTGAGATTTGCGGAATGTATCTATTTTTTTAAACTGCTAACTTTCGAATGTCCCTGACACTCTGCTCCCAAGTGTGTGCTTCTTGCACCTGTGTGATAAGCTACCAATGACATTATATGCTTTAAATTTATAAAATTTTCATGTTGATGTTAGAAAATAATTTTTTAGGGTTTTTCATACATTTTTCTTAATTTAAGTTTTATGACAAAATAATTCTTGATATAATTTTACAAAAATCCCACAAGTTTCCATACTTTTATAAAAAATTTGTGAAATTGTTGTTTCATATTATGTTAGGAGCAGTGCTATTTTTGTAAAAAATTACTGCTGGTATGCATATATGGTGACTGAACATATGGTATTGTTTTTACTGAACAACTGCCAGTACTATATACTGGCTACTGATACATTTTGCATACTGCCTGCCAGTATGTGTACCAATGTGTATAGTGTAATGTGTTCTGGTTGAAAAAATAGCCCTAGTTAGAATTTTAAAAAATGGAATTGAGAAAATTATTTAAATATTCAATATTANGTAAAATTCAATTCAGTAAGAATAAGATTTAAATTTATGTTTAATAGACATATTGTTTAAATTCAAAATTTTCACTGTGACAAATTAATAAGCACATTATCTTTATCTAGTCCAGCAGCTTTATTTTTCTATAAAATAAGTTCAAAAACGTTTATTTTATAGAGAAATAAAGCTACTGGACTAGATAAAAGTACTGTGGTTATTTATTTGTTTCATTGTCCAGTTTTTCAAAGTATTTGCTTTCACTGTGATTTATAAATATATAAAAATTATTACAAGATAAGCCAGTGGTACATTTGTTCTTTTGCTTCCTGATATGTTTTAATATTTATAAAAATATTTTTTTATGTCAGTTTTTAGTTCACTTTGTTTAGTTTTTATAAAATTTTTCAGTTTTACTATACATTAGTCAGTGGCAGATGAGGCATTTGGTGGGCCTCAAGTGGCAGTTTTGAGGTCTCCTTGTTCTAAATAATAAATAATACTATCAAATTAATTTATAACTTAATAAAAAAAAACCAGCAGTGAGGTGCAAGTTTTCAGGCAAAAAAGTTAAAATTGTATGTAGTGCCATCTGTTATGAAATTTTATTTAAAAAATTTTTATATTATTAATTATTATAAAATGACAAAAAGTTTAGTTTTGAGGATATAGATGAGTTTAATATTAAAAAAAAATTGTAAATACTAATAATGAGTAAATTCTTCATTAAGTCTAATCCCACTCAAGATATGACACATGACCCCCACTCTATCTTCCATGCCCTTGATCTTTAAACACCAAAGTTTAATAGCATCAATAACTCTAATACACAAACTCCTTGCAAAATTTCAGATTCAGTAAAATCTACTGCATTTTAGTTTATTATTAGAAACATACCATTGAATATTAAAAATTATCATTATTTTATTTTGTTTACTCAGTTAGAAGCAGGAGTTATTAAGCTTCTAACTGGGTAAACAAAATTATGTCCTCCCCACACATACACACTAACATCCATACATACAAAAAACCCCCAACTTTTTTTTTGCATGTCTTGATGTTTTGATGTCCCTAAGTCTAAAAACATAAAAATCTTGGCAGTTCTTTTTTGACTGATTACCATGCTTTTCCTCTTATATGTATCAACTGGGATAATAAAATAATGATAATTTTTAATATTCAATGGTATGATTCTAATAATAAACTAAAATGCAGTGGATTTTACTGTTTTGAATCGTTCTTGGCTGTTGATTGTAACCAGTAATCAGAATAAAACAGTGCTTATACAAATACAAACATCTAAAATTTTTTGATTAAAGCCAAATGATTGTCAGATTACATTGGGCTATATTATTAATAATTAAATGTTAAGTAATTTGGCCTAGAGATAGGCATGGGAATTATCTTTTGATAAATTTTAGTTTAATTATAATTATTAATAGTTGCAATAATATAGCCCAATATAATTCAGCAATAATTTGGCTTTAAAACAGTACTTATTGTGTATAACATAAACAAATATCTGTGCCTGAGATTTGCGGAATGTATCTATTTTTTTAAACTGCTAACTTTCGAATGTCCCTGACACTCTGCTCCCAAGTGTGTGCTTCTTGCACCTGTGTGATAAGCTACCAATGACATTATATGCTTTAAATTTATAAAATTTTCATGTTGATGTTAGAAAATAATTTTTTAGGGTTTTTCATACATTTTTCTTAATTTAAGTTTTATGACAAAATAATTCTTGATATAATTTTACAAAAATCCCACAAGTTTCCATACTTTTATAAAAAATTTGTGAAATTGTTGTTTCATATTATGTTAGGAGCAGTGCTATTTTTGTAAAAAATTACTGCTGGTATGCATATATGGTGACTGAACATATGGTATTGTTTTTACTGAACAACTGCCAGTACTATATACTGGCTACTGATACATTTTGCATACTGCCTGCCAGTATGTGTACCAATGTGTATAGTGTAATGTGTTCTGGTTGAAAAAATAGCCCTAGTTAGAATTTTAAAAAATGGAATTGAGAAAATTATTTAAATATTCAATATTACATTTTTTTAATTTTTTTGAAATTAAATTTTGAAATTAATTTCAAAAAATTAAAAAAAATGTAATATACTGAATATTTAAATAATTTTGTAAATTGTTTTAGTTATATTGTTAACTAAGATAATCTTTCGATATGAATGTTTAGTATGCAGAGTCTTAAATATTATATTAGTCTAGGCTTCATTTAATGCTTAAATAATTTTAATTTGAAACATTTATTACAAATGCAAAAATAGAAAGGAAACTAATTAACTAATTAACTGGATTACATAATGACTTAGACTAAATTAAATTATTAATAATTAATTTACATATTTGAGACACAAATATATATTATATAATTATGTAATTATTAAGTAAGTTTATTGAAAGAATTAAGAAATAAATGATCTTAAATGGAAATTGAATCTGTAACTCAAATATGATAATAATTTATAAAATGTATCTCTTTTTATTATGGTATTTTAAGGCATCAAACTTGTGGTATATACCAAATGTTAATTTTGGCCCTACAAGGGAAATATCTAATTCATGAAACAGGATGGAATTATCTGCAGTTTTTTGACTCAACAATAAATCTTATGGAATGATATAATGTTTAGTGCTGATACAAACCCATTAAACTGATCATGAGTTCTATTCCAGGCAATGAGAATATCATCCACATGTTGGAGATATAGTGTAGGGTATGCAATGATGAGATGTAAAGAATATCTTATGCTATAAATTATTCATTAAGATTTCAACCAGGACAAAGGGGACAACCCATAGATAACCCTGTCACTTTAAGTAAAATGATATTACTCACTGTAACATAGTTGTTATTAACTATGGACTCAATAGCTTCTTTAATCCTTAGAGTGACATATAGAGAAAGCTTTTAGCATCAAAAGAAACATCTTGGTGATTATGGTCACTTCAAATATTGGATTGATGGAAACAGTGACATCAACTCTATGGGACAGTATCTGTCATAGCTTGGTTCTTTAGCCTATCATTTATTTTGTTTTTTGCATCACAGGAAGAAGTACTTGTTAGTCAATGGTCTCCTATAACATTCCACAAGAAGTTAGCAAGGGCTTTCTCTATGTTGTATGTGGGATAGGACTTTTTTTTTTGTAATGGTTTTAACAGCCATTCTACCTCGTGGGACTTACTGTCAATGAACAACCTAGAACACAGTGTTTCTGGGGATTTTAAGTTTACCAGATCAAACCACTTGGCTTCTAGGGAAGAAATATGTCTTATGATTTTATGTAATAAGCACTCTGTGTTCTTCTGTCCTCAGACCCAACTATCTGTTTGTTGGTAGAAATTTTCATTACAGACACAAGCAATTTTGGGTAACTTAACAAAAATAGCCAATTGTAAAAATGGAATGCTAATTTTAACGATAAGATTGAATCCAAGTATGATAGCTAAGTGTGATACTTAGGCATGATAAAGGAAAGTTTTAAAGCTTTTGTGTATAATAGTAAGGATGTTAAAAGTATTTTTTTGATTTTTGTGTGTTTTTAATTGCAACAAGCAATCATGATTTCTTTTTAATTTGCATTTTAAAATTTTGTACAATATTATATTTAAAAATTATTGTCCAAATGGCTGTATGATAAGATATTTATCTATTATCTTGGGTTCTAAAATTCAATTTCCATTTTGGTTTAGCATTGGAATTTGAAGAAGAATTTGAGTTGGTTTTTCCAACATGTTTATTAATCCCATTGTATTGGTTGACATGTTTGGAAAATGGGAGTAACAAAGGCAGATTATGAGAGTTCAGGGCCCCTGATAACACAAACTTGAAGGCTCTTTGCTAAGTTTCATTTTAATAAAAATTAAATACATACACAGTTAAGCAGTGTTTGTTACAAAACAATAAGATAAACATTTTCTATTGATACATAATATATTGAATGAAAAAAAAAAATGTTAAGATATTCTAATTCAAAATTAAAAATAATATATTTTACATAATATAATTTAAAAACAAAAATATAATACATTTTAAAGTTAATAAGAATATATATAAATCATAAGTTTTGTCACTTAAGACATCCAATGCATGTTATGGGAGATTCATCTATAACAAAAGCTTGAGGTGCTAATTCTCTTCCCTGAAAACAATCTATCACTTTAATTTTATCTTTGACACCTTTTTTGACTTTTTCAAATTTTCAGAGATCAGATATTCATGGATTTTATAGTTTTTCTGTATAGGATTTATATTTTACATTTATATCAATTTATAATTTCTCTAGTTTTGCTACTAAAGTCTTCTTATTTAGATAACTTTGTTGATGATAAAAGAAAAACTAACCAAAATCCATTTATAAAATACAATACTGACATTTATGATGTATATTGATATAAAACACAATATTTACTACTACATAAGTGCACTTGCTGTAATAATGCAAGAAATTTAAGATACTAATGGAACTTAGGGTAGTATCCACTAGCCTGGTGTAACAGTCAAGAACATGAATTGCAATAGATAGTATTTAAAATTAAAAAAATTATTTAATCGTCTCATTCTGTTGTTTTGTTGTATTTGTTAAAACTTCTGCAAATATGCAAATTTTATCTTCATGAATATGAAAAATGGTTGCAAAAGTTAAACAGCAAGTATGCATGAATACAAAGCTTCTACTGTCCAGTTACAATGTTATGTTAATCTAGTATAATTAAATATATTAAAGCCAGGACCTAAACCTGTGGCTCACAGCATATTTATATGGCTTGCGTTTTATTTCACTGACATGTTTTATCATTAATATTTGAATAGTTCAAAGTAAATAAACTTGAAAATCAACTAGAACTAATAGACCTTACTGCAAATGAAAGGTTGTAGATTTCTGTATTAAATATATAAATTTTTAGTAATAAAACTTATTCAGAAAATGATATTTTATTAAATTTTATTTATTTATTCAATAATTGATTGTATTACATACCGTATATTTCTATTATAGGTTTAGGAAATCCAATTGATATGATGTATCATATGCAGCCATGGATGATATTAGGTTTGTTGCCACTTTCTATTGCCTTTGAAGGTAATTTGCTTTAACAACATTTAAAAATTATATAATTTTTATTTTAAATTTATTTTGATAAATTGAATTGAGATTTTCTGATATATAATAAATTTTTAAAATTTATAACATTGAATTTTAGCTATGTAAATTGTATAAATTAAGATTATACAATTTACACAGCAAAAATTCAATATAAAGCAGATATAATAATAATTTTTATTAATAAAATCTTATTAATTTTTGAATTTGTAGATATTTTGTCATTAATTCTAATTATGTAACTAATTGCTACTGCAAATAAAATAGCCCTTGTATATATTATACACTGGATAATCAAATGAAATGGGACTTGCAAGAAGTAGGTTACTATACATCCTCTTATGTGGACACATCTTAATTTTGAGGGTAAAAATTTCTGTTCACACACATTTTTGTGAATTTCTTGCTTTGTTTGCATTTTTAGTGATTGTACATTTTTTCATTATTCTTGCAGTATCTATATAAAAATGAGGTATTTTTTTCTATTGGTAACAGCACAATGTTGAATTCAGGATATTTACTATTGATAACATTTAAAATACTATAATAGCAAATGTTTTTAGTTATTTATTTTGAGATGAAATTTGATTCTTTTCATACTTGTATGAATGGAAGTGTAAATTTATTTGGTTTTAGATAAATGCTTAAAGATGACATTGAATTTCCTTTTAATTGCAGCTGAATGTTTTGCCTCAGATATTTTTTTGCTTATTACAACTTGTTTTGTTACACAGATTTTGTGGACTGCATTTAATAAAAAGTTTCTAAACATAAACTTTATAGGTACAGACGATTTTGCATAAATTGTTACCTTAATTTTTTGGTAATTTCACTATGTAACTTTTTGTGCAATTTTCTATGCAAAAAGTCTCCTTTCTATAATATAAAGCAGTGATTCTCAACCAGGGGTACAACTTGGTAGTTTAGGGGTATGTGAAGAAAAATTGATAATGACGGATGTATTATAAGAATATTCAGATTCTTCATTGAGGACATTGACAAAGTCATATAACTTGAATTCAATAAATTGATCTTCTGAGTTTTAAATACATATATACAATTTATTATTAGTTTCTTTTTTATTAACCAACTTCAAAGAGCAATGGTGTGATAAATAGAAAAGTACAGTGTAGGGCCATTAAGCCACGGGCCAGTAATTTGTGAATTTGCTTAAGTTGCTCAGAAAGCTTGGATTCCAATATTTTGACACTTTGGATCGTACGGACCTCGACATGGCCTCTCAAACCCTCGAGACAGGTGTTGTTGACAATTGTCATTTTGGCATTTCGAATGTCTGTGATTGACGTGCTATGCACTATTGTAGATTAAATATTTAAATGCTGGCTTATAACTTCAAAGAGGTGTTTATAAAAGATTAGTCTTTTATTTATCAGTAAACAATAAAATAACTTACAATGAAATTCAAATACAGTATTAATCTGTTTTATCCATGCTGAGTGTCAGCATTATGGAGGTCGCCATTGTAACCAATTCACACCTTACAATGCTACAAAGTTAATCCGCGGTAAATCCGTGGACCACCTAAGCCACGGTTAAGCAGTTTGGACCCCAATCACCACGGCTTAATGGCCTTACACTGTACAGTACATAGAATACTGAGCACAAAACATTTGTATCTATACAGATAACCTTTTATTCTTCAACAATTCAGTGCCCTGTGTACCTTCCTTGCCACATCACTCTATTCATTTACAGTTACGATAAGTTTAAAATACAACTATATAAAGTCCAAATATTTTTCTGATGCAGTGGTGTGCGGTGACATTTGATGATAGAAAAGCTGTGCCAGCACTGGATAGAATCATTGGAAGCATTATATGATATTTTGGTGTATAGCATCCACCAGCTAAACCATGTGAGGTTGCTCTGTAAAGTGCTTGCATGAGTGTGTATAATCTGTCTGCTTTACATGATTCAAATATTTTTGCCAATGAAGTATCCAGTATTTGACAATATAGCGCTTCCATTGGGAATATGCATATATGAATTTATATTTGAATACACAATAACAGTCTTATCATTTTTTTCACATGTAGTATAGAAATTTGTAATAAGATACATAAGGTGGTTATAATAAAATATTAATTTTAATTAATTCAAAGTCGTTAAAATATGAAAATAATTGCACAATAAGTATTTATATTTTAGAAAATACAAGGGAAGTGGTGCTTCCACAGCTTCCATGGATGATACGCCACTGTTCTAATGTAAGGGGGGTACAATTTAGGAAAATGGGCTGCCAAGGGGTATACAAGTCAAGGAAAGGTTGGAAACTGCCTGTATAAAGCATTTCAATTATGCACTTAAACTTAATTTAAATAACAACAATAGGTAATCTCTCATTTGAGTTGATGTATGATGAATCAGTCAGATGCCACCAACTTTCAGTGTCTTTAGTTTCCTCATCTTACATTTTACAAGTAAACTTTTCAGTTGATTGATCACCCAATATATAAAGGATTTAATATACAGTAGAAATATATAGTTTATATATATAGCATATATATAGTAGAAATATATAATATATAGTTTTATCTGAAAACTCAGATAAAACAGATGACAATAGCCATTTTGGATTTAAAATTACAAATATAAAAGATTTATATGGTATATCACTTTTAAGACTGTTTTTGTCTTAATGAATTTAATCATATTTAAGAACAACAATTTTTACATCATACAATAGTTAATACATACAGCTAATACATACAATAATTTTAAGAATAAAAATGTGTATTATTGGGCTGCAATTTGAAAAAACTGTAGACCTATAAATTTCCATTGTCAGTTGTGTGTCTGCCTGTCTGTCTTTACTTAATCTCAAGAACAGAGTTTGCTAGATGAAAGTTTAGACCAGAAAGCTTAGGAGTAGGAGGCCCAGATTAACTATATATGAACTTCCAGTGCAAATTGGAAATCATGTTATTTCAACTCAAAAATTTTCCCTGAAAGGAGTTAGCTAGATGACTGAAACAACTCTTTTCTAACAGGAAAAGTATGATTTACAGACACTACTAAAAAAATTGAGAACATTTGTGACAAAAAATTGCAACTTGGCATTGTAACGATGTTACAATAAATAATTGTTGCAGTTACATTTTAGTATGAATGATATGTCTTACATTGAAGTTAAATGATAGAAGGTAACAGATACAAATCATTTTGTAATCCATTATCATTTTAAGCTTTTTTATGAATTATAATATAAGAGAACATTTGATTTGCTATTGGCATTGAAATTTTTCTATGTTGACTATTTTGAGCAAAACTTGACTTCTGGAAGTAGGTCATTCATATCACCATATGATGATGAAACTATTTAACAAAATTATTATGCAATGTGTGTTTTGTAAGCATAGAATTTTAGAGATTTTTGAAAAACATTAAGAATTCATTGTTTCTAAAAATATATAATGTTTTTCAAAAATCTTTAAAAATTCTATGCTTACAAAATATAGTTCAACCAGCAGAAAAGTTTTCTTTTACTTAATCTCTTCTGATGGTTGATTATGTAAAAGAAAAAGATCTCAGGCCAAGACATGAGAATTTCAGCACCAAATCAGTCATAAGAGAGACTAATGCCAAGTAAATTATGAATGTTATCAAAATAAAAAAGTTAACACAAACTTTTCTTCAATTCCTGTGGGAAATGTTGAAGTAAAATAATTGCTTATACTGACTACTTGTAAAAAATTTGAACATCGAGATTAGATATTTCTCTCAAGGAGTATAAAGGCACATTTATTATGTATTTGATAATAGACAACATATAAAATCATAGCGGCCTACAAAATGTAAAAAATTATTTTTACTTATAATCTTATTTTGTCCACTAGTATGTATTTTCTATTAACAGGACCTATTAAACTTTCTTTAAGGATATCTCAACTCAGTTTCACAGATTATAAAATTATTTTTTTATTTAATTTTATAATTTGTGAAATTGAGTTGCAGTATCTTTAAGGATACTGAAGCTCAGTTTAATAAGTCCTGTTAATAGAAAATACGTACTAGTGGACGAAATAAGATTATAATAAATTAAGGACATTGAGGCATATTAATTTAATTATTTCTACTTGCTGTGTACAGTGTACAATTATGTCTTCTAGGTATTTGAATACCGAATGGAATTGCACAAGAGACACATGAAACTTGCAACAAGTTCATTAAAATATTAAAAAACAGAGAAAAATTTTTTTAAACTGTATTTTTTGTAGTAAAACTGTTTGAAATATGTTCATCGTTCTTTGATATTTATATATTTTATGTGTATAATTAATCAATGATTGTTGTTGATCCCATAAAATATATAATCATTTTTGATTTCTACAAATATAATTTTTTCTTGTGTTATTAATTAATATATCATGTTAATATAATGTAAATTGAAATATGAATTTATTAAACTTAGACTCTATAATTTATTTCAAAAGTATGATCTGATGAAAGCTGATAAAGTATAATAGAATAGGTGTAAAGAATAAAGTACAAATCAAAATCTGAATTATATTCCATTTACATTAACTAAATTCTGCTGGATTTTTTTTTTGTCATAATTATGCTATTTTTTTAATTAAATTTTTACAGTAATTTTGCTAAAGCTATAAGATGTCATCATTGTGTATAAATATCAATACAGTAGAACCCCTCTAGTCTGCCCTCGGCTAATCCGTTACTTCGGTTAATCCGACCGTGGTCGGAGTTGAGAAACTTGTCCCGACTCGTCAGTGACTCACCGTCCGTAGCGTTCTTCTGTGTTCGTTACAGTATATGTTTTACATTGTGTGTGTTTTCAACATGCCAGGAGTGAAACGTAAACACGTTACTCTTTCATTAAATGAAAAATTAGCAGTGTTACAAAGACTGGACAAAGGGAAGATTGTTTATTTTACTTTTTTCTGATAATCCAACCTTTTTTGCGTTCCGACCATACCCCCAGTCCCAAAGGTAACGGATTAGAGGAGTTCTACTGTAATTAAAAATCAATTAATTAAGTTTAAAATTAATTTCTGAATATTATTTATACAAGATTGTCTGCTTACTTTTAGATCAAATTGATAATGATAATTTAATCAAAAACAGTATAATTATAACCAAGAAAAAAAGTATATTAAAATATGAATAAGTTTCAAACAATTACAGCAGACTATCTATAACTTTTTTCTTCTTACAACTGCACTGTTTATTAGAGTACACTTGCTGTTAGAGGACAACTATTATTTCTATTCTTTGGAAATTTGGTGCAAGTAATCATTTCAGAGTGACTATTAATGTAATAAATCTGGTAATTTTTTATTTATGAATTATTATTATTATTATTTGAACAATGGCACAACACTTAACACTCTCATTATAATATACAGTAAGAGTAGCAATGCTGAATTGAATGCAATTTTTGAGTTTACAATAAGCTCTATCTTTTTGCAATAGACAGCTCTCTTACTATTACAGAGTGCTGCCTATAACTTTTTCATCTAGTTGTGCTGTTTATTAGAATAAATCTAGTATTTAAAGAAAAATCACTAGCAAATGGTAACATTATTCAATTTTAATGTTTTCTGAAACAATTTAGTAAATATAGTGATAAGATTACAAGTTTAGATAATTGCATTAATAACTAATATTAAGATTATGATTAAAATTGTTTACCTTATCACTTTTTGTAATATGATATGAAATAATTATAGGTATTCCAATTTCAACTTCAGAAAAAGTATTTCGTTACCGTGATGTAGCAGTTGTAACAAGAACTTTGACATGTGTTTTTGTAGGATCAATGCTTGCTTTTTTAATGGAATTAACAGAATATTTACTGCTAAGGTATACTTCAAGTTTAACTCTGTCTATAACAGGAATAATAAAGGTATAAATTAATGTTCCAGAATAATTAAGTTGTATTTTTATTCATTTTTATATTTACTAATTTTTTAATTTTTCTTTAATTAGGAAATATTTACATTATATTTAGCAATACATTATAATGGTGATTCCATGACGACAATGAATTATATTGGTCTGGTTATTTGTGTATTAGGTATAGGAACACATGTATTCTTAAAAGCTCTTCATGTTTCAGGTTAGATAATTAATTAATTAATAATATACTAATTAATTTGATTTATATATTTAATAAATAAATTATAAGAAAATATAAATTTTTTATATAATATACAAAAAGTCAATATATAAAGCTATGCATTATTATAGTTTATATGAGATTTTAAAAAATTCTTATATTTTGTGATAAAATTCAAAATGAAATGAAATTTGTTCAAATTTTTATTTATTTTCTACAGAAGCTTTATGAATCTTTCTGATTGTCATGTTTAAACATTTGTAATATTTCATATTTTAACATATTAAAAATGAATTAACACTTAAATTTTGTTTAAGTATTTTATACTTAAATAAAATTATCTAAAACTACAGAAAAATATTAATTAATACTATAAGATCTAAAGTTGAGAGATGTTTGTTTTGTATAAAAATCTTATGAGTGATTTTCTGTAGTATATGATGTATTGATCATAAAACGTGTATTTTTTACTATATGTTAAACACTTTTGTTGATTATCAAACACTGTATACACTACCTCTTAGTTTTATACATACTTTTTTACAGTTCTTACCTATTTTCATGACAATAAAAAATTCTTGTTTAATTTGTTGTATAAGACCAATTTATAAAGATAAAATTACATTAATTTAATTACATTATCTGGAAACTTGTAATTAAAACCAAATTAGTAGTTTAATTTAAAAGTCATATAGAAAACCAAGCCCAAGTTATCAAGAGTCATGGTAGTGACTCTGTGCCAAGTAAAAAAATTACTGACTGTTTATTTATACAGGAGGCAGAGTTGCTGATTTTGGGGGTGATTTCTCTGCCTTCCAAACACCTACAGTAAGTCTGAATATCTTGTTTGAAAGATACTTGTTTTCTTAGGTAGTATGCAAAATTTCCATATTATCTATAAAAGGGTTGTTGAAATATAAACAATTGAAAAATGCAAAAATTGTCAAAAAAGCTGTGTTTTCTTTTTCTTCTTTTTCACCAAGCACTGCAGATTCTCATAGAAAAAAAACTACTAGGTTTATAAAGCTCAAATTTTAACCTTAAGCCTCTCTCGTTGTTTGTGAGGTGCTGGCAAAACTTTCGAGTCAATAGGTCAAAGTTCACTGGGGCTCCCCATAGATCTGTTTCACTTTTATGGCTTAATTCTGCAGTGCTGGATGAAGGAAAAGAAAATAGCTTTTTGGCAATTTTTGCACTTTTCAATTGCTTATATTTCAGCAACCCTTTCATAGAAAATCTGGAAATTTTGCATACTATCTAAGAAAACAAGTATGTTTCAAATGAGTTATTCGGGACTTACTATAGGAATTTGGGGGCAGAAAAATCAACCCCCAAAAATCAGCAACTCTTGATTCCTATATATATAGTCAGTCAGTGACTTTTTCACTTAGTGTGGAGTCACTGCTGTGACTCTCGATACTTTTATTAATTTTATCCAAAGATAACACTGTTTGCTAATAACAAATCCATTTTCCATAAACTTTTAAATTAGGATATNATCGTTCTTTGATATTTATATATTTTATGTGTATAATTAATCAATGATTGTTGTTGATCCCATAAAATATATAATCATTTTTGATTTCTACAAATATAATTTTTTCTTGTGTTATTAATTAATATATCATGTTAATATAATGTAAATTGAAATATGAATTTATTAAACTTAGACTCTATAATTTATTTCAAAAGTATGATCTGATGAAAGCTGATAAAGTATAATAGAATAGGTGTAAAGAATAAAGTACAAATCAAAATCTGAATTATATTCCATTTACATTAACTAAATTCTGCTGGATTTTTTTTTTGTCATAATTATGCTATTTTTTTAATTAAATTTTTACAGTAATTTTGCTAAAGCTATAAGATGTCATCATTGTGTATAAATATCAATACAGTAGAACCCCTCTAGTCTGCCCTCGGCTAATCCGTTACTTCGGTTAATCCGACCGTGGTCGGAGTTGAGAAACTTGTCCCGACTCGTCAGTGACTCACCGTCCGTAGCGTTCTTCTGTGTTCGTTACAGTATATGTTTTACATTGTGTGTGTTTTCAACATGCCAGGAGTGAAACGTAAACACGTTACTCTTTCATTAAATGAAAAATTAGCAGTGTTACAAAGACTGGACAAAGGGAAGATTGTTTATTTTACTTTTTTCTGATAATCCAACCTTTTTTGCGTTCCGACCATACCCCCAGTCCCAAAGGTAACGGATTAGAGGAGTTCTACTGTAATTAAAAATCAATTAATTAAGTTTAAAATTAATTTCTGAATATTATTTATACAAGATTGTCTGCTTACTTTTAGATCAAATTGATAATGATAATTTAATCAAAAACAGTATAATTATAACCAAGAAAAAAAGTATATTAAAATATGAATAAGTTTCAAACAATTACAGCAGACTATCTATAACTTTTTTCTTCTTACAACTGCACTGTTTATTAGAGTACACTTGCTGTTAGAGGACAACTATTATTTCTATTCTTTGGAAATTTGGTGCAAGTAATCATTTCAGAGTGACTATTAATGTAATAAATCTGGTAATTTTTTATTTATGAATTATTATTATTATTATTTGAACAATGACACAACACTTAACACTCTCATTATAATATACAGTAAGAGTAGCAATGCTGAATTGAATGCAATTTTTGAGTTTACAATAAGCTCTATCTTTTTGCAATAGACAGCTCTCTTACTATTACAGAGTGCTGCCTATAACTTTTTCATCTAGTTGTGCTGTTTATTAGAATAAATCTAGTATTTAAAGAAAAATCACTAGCAAATGGTAACANCATTTTATAGGGGTGTCTACTGTATTAATATACATCAAAGGAATTAATACAATATAAAATTAAATTGTTTATTCCTATATTAGACGTTACTTTATATTTATTGGATTCATATGAAATGTTGCTCTAAGTTAAACTGTTAATAAACACTTTTAGTTGTCTTTGCTTGAAATTTAATTTTAACTTCAGAAAAATTAGTTGTTAGTTTTGACTTTTGGTAAATAATTTGATTTTATAAATTATATCATGAAATCAGTTTATATGCTTGTCTCTTTATTGAAAAAGCTGTTTATCTAGATGTTGTACACGTATTTTCATATATGAGACAAATTACATAAATTTCATGTAGTTTATGTAATAATCACAAATTACTTTTTATGTTCCAATTTTTTGTTCACATAGAACAAGTTAAACTGCTCTTATTATTTTTAAAAAGGATATTAAAACTTAAGCAACACTTTCTCATAATTTCAAAGTTAAATTTTAAATTATAAGAAAATTAATTTGTTTTATTCTGTATTTTACAAAATAGCATGTTTAAATATTTACTTTCATTTTTAGATTGATAGTATCTAAATTCTATTTGCAAAGTAGTGTTTTTGCTGGTTATTCTACATTAAAGACAAAAAATATTCTTCAGGAAATATTGCTTCTATATTTGTCTAGATTGCTATTGTAGCTAAATTTTTGATATGCAAGTGCTATCTTTAAAACTGCAGTAATTATTCAAGAAATTCTTAATATTGATTGAAAGTTTGATTTATAAATTACTGAATTAAAATTAATTTAGGTTATTGATTTTTGCTTTAAATGGCTTTAAATGCTCACTTTGTTCAATCAAATTAATGATCCAAGACCAAATTATGTAAAACAGTTCCAAACTATTATATTGCCCAAATATATTAATAAAATATAAACTACAATATGTTTTCATATTATAAACAGAAAGAGTTTAAAATATTGTTTAAACATTAAGAAAAAAAATGTATTATGATTATACTTTATAATGAATAATGAATTGTAAACAGTGTAGTGAAAAAATAATGAGATGAGAATTAAAATTAAAATCTACTTAATATGAATGTTGCTTTGGGAGAGGAAACTAGAAAGGAACCAAAGTATGGTTATGTAGGCATGAACAATCAAAATCTGTTGGCTGTAAGTTATTTTTTCTGTGCAAATATATTTTGAGTATGATGGATGGTAATCATAGTCAAATACCAAAAAGAGAACAAAGAATAAACATCAAATCTGGAAAAAAGTTGGCTGAAATACACAAATTGTTACAAATAATTTATTAAAATGAAACATCTATCCTGAATAAAAACATTTTAATAGTTAAGCATTTTAAAGAAGGCAAAGATAGACATAGTAGATGATCTTTGAAATGGACAACTGAAAATGCACAGTTTATTGACAAATGATTGCTGATTTAACATTAAGAAGTTTAACAATTGAATTTAATATAAAGAATTGATAAACTTCATAATTATCACATTCTTGGAGGAACGAAAAATTTGGAGTTTGTTCCAAATTGTTTGAGTGCTGAGGAAAATCTTGGACAATTAGATTTTTACAGAGTTAGTAAATATTTAATTGTCCAAGAGTTTTTTCAAATAGCTAATAATTTTTTGGTAGAATTTCTAGAAAGCATAAATTATTAAAAACAAATTATGCTTTCTGTATGATTCTGAAATTAAAAAAGTTTAAAATGTTGAATGGTAATTATTATGCTTGTCAAGACCAAAAATATATCTTGAAATTGTGTATCAAAATCGTGCTGATTGCATTCTTTGATCAAGAGGCCTATCCATAATAATTCATGTTAAAAGAAGGATTATTACTGGCAGTTATTATCTAAGACATTGTATATGCTTAATTCTTGTAATGAATATTTTAATCAGATTTGGAAGAATTTGATTCATATTTCATGATGATTCATACAATCTCATCATTTAACCACAAACTGTGACTCTCGATACTTTTATTAATTTTATCCCAAGATAACACTGTTTGCTAATAACAAATCCATTTTCCATAAACTTTTAAATTAGGATATAACTGAATTACTGTAACTATGCAGCAATTGTGTAATTAGAGTAAATTCTCTATTTCTTGATGAACTATTAAAAATTGACAATTTAAACTATAGAAAAATTTAGTGAAGTTTATTGAAATGTTCTCTTTTGAACTGAGCTATTTCTGGGTATTTTAATTCTAAAAGCTAGTCTGAAGAAGTTTCAGTTAAGCAAAGCTATATACAGTCGACCCCCTGTAACACGGTAGATATGTTCTGTTCTTTATGAAATTCATGTTTTACGAGTCCTTAAATACATGAGCCCGTCACAGCCCTGCACGTATGCAGTTTACGGACTACAGCTGTTTGAAAGGTTTTCTTCCATAAAATTAATCGATTCTTGATTAATTTGACTCAACATTTCCAAAACACGTATAATTTTTTGGGAATAATCCATATAAACTATGCTATAAACAAAAAATTGTAGGATTACTTACCGAGTGTGCACCATTTGATGACGCCATTGCGTAAGCTTGTTTTTGTTGCGGAGCGGCACATTGAACGGGGGTGTGCATGTTTCCTGATGAATTATTTTTCTGCGAAAAATTCGCTGAACTTTGGAGACATCATTAATATAAATATAATTTTTATGGACGTTAAATAATAAATGGTTTTTAGTAGTTCTGCTGCTTGTTTAAGCTCAATGGTTTGTGCAATATCTGCTATTGGTCTAGATTCGACCAATCCTGTTGCAACACGAGTCAGCGATGACGTTTTATCGAATTATACAAGTCTCTTTTAGCATGTTTATATGAATACAGTCGCAATTTTTTTGCCACAATTTGAATTATATGAACCCATTTTATAGGGCTGTCTACTGTATTAATATACATCAAAGGAATTAATACAATATAAAATTAAATTGTTTATTCCTATATTAGAAGTTACTTTATATTTACTGGATTCATATGAAATGTTGCTCTAAGTTAAACTGTTAATAAACACTTTTAGTTGTCTTTGCTTGAAATTTAATTTTAACTTCAGAAAAATTAGTTGTTAATTTTGACTTTTGGTAAATAATTTGATTTTATAAATTATATCATGAAATCAGTTTATATGCTTGTCTCTTTATTGAAAAAGCTGTTTATCTAGATGTTGTACACGTATTTTCATATATGAGACAAATTACATAAATTTCATGTAGTTTATGTAATAATCACAAATTACTTTTTATGTTCCAATTTTTTGTTCACATAGAACAAGTTAAACTGCTCTTATTATTTTTAAAAAGGATATTAAAACTTAAGCAACACTTTCTCATAATTTCAAAGTTAAATTTTAAATTATAAGAAAATTAATTTGTTTTATTCTGTATTTTACAAAATAGCATGTTTAAATATTTACTTTCATTTTTAGATTGATAGTATCTAAATTCTATTTGCAAAGTAGTGTTTTTGCTGGTTATTCTACATTAAAGACAAAAAATATTCTACAGGAAATATTGCTTCTATATTTGTCTAGATTGCTATTGTAGCTAAATTTTTGATATGCAAGTGCTATCTTTAAAACTGCAGTAATTATTCAAGAAATTCTTAATATTGATTGAAAGTTTGATTTATAAATTACTGAATTAAAATTAATTTAGGTTATTGATTTTTGCTTTAAATGGCTTTAAATGCTCACTTTGTTCAATCAAATTAATGATCCAAGTTAGACCCAGGGCCTTT